CCTCAGTTCTTTTATGCAATTAAGTGTATAAAAACTGGCACTTCATTTTCTGAACCTAACCCAAGCCATCTATTTTCTCAAGCGCATAGGAAATTGTTTCCTTCAGAGGTAAAACTTATTTGGTTTGTTCCTGTATCATCTGCTCAGTATAGCTGGTGATGGTTAGCATTTGTAAGAGCTATTTTTATACTAACATGTAATAGAAATTAATACAGGCACAACTTTAACCAAATGTTAAAGCAACCAGAAATAAAAATGCAACTCCTTTTATTCTGAGCAAGCCTCCTCCTGAAAGTTTGCTAAACTGCATACATCCCAGCATTGTATACTTAAAAAACCTTATTAAGCTAGCACATTCAGAAGCATTTCTCTTTTGAATGAAATATTTTTCTCTTTTTTAAAGACTTTTTGTATCTGGAGAAATTTAGAAACCCAAAATAATTGTCACCAAGACTGGCAATATCTGCACCAGAACAATAACAACTTAAACACAAGTCCTGAATCCAGTCAAATACTTTCATTTAGGTGCTTTGCCAAATACAGTCCTGAAGCATTTCCCTTCTGTAAAATGCTGCCTGAAATATCTTGAATTCTAACAGGCTTATTCTATTTTTAATAACATGTTGATATATTTTAATTAATATATTTTAGTAATATTGTTTACCTTGAGATGTCACCCCAATACCACTCCGCTTCCTGCAGAGAGAAACTGGAGTTGTCCTTTATTCCGTTCGTATTGACTGGAGTCATTGGTTTGGGGGGCTTTGGAGGAAGAGCTGAAAATGAAGAACAGATTAAAGAAAGGTAAACAGGGGAGAATGCTCACTAACTGTTAATGAAATATGACAGTGAAAAAACAAGAAAAAAATGTGCATCTTGATCTCGGATTTCAAGCTCTGTCAAAATGGAATTTGTAATTTTAAAAGAATTTTGAAGTTAACAGCTGCACTGCGATCCCAGATTTCCTAGTACTGAAATCAAACACGTGCTTGAAAGAGGCAAAAGGGAAAGA